ATAAAACAAACTTCTTACCTACTTTCCTTTTTTCCTTCTTTCTTCTCCCTCCTTCCGTGCTCCTGTCCTCCCCTCCCCTCCCTCCCCTCCTCTGTCCTCCCGCCCCATCCCTCCTGCCTCCCCGGGTTCTCCTCTCTCGGCCTCCCTACAGTTGAATCTCTGGATAAGAACAGGATTTAAAGGGCCACAGGCGAAGGAGACATTAATGGGGCAGAAAGCGTGCTCAATGCTGCAGGAGGTGGGGGTGGTGGGAGCTGTTCTTATACCGGGTAGTTGTCCCTTGAGAAGGAGTCGGATGCCGTGCCATTCGGAGAGGAACCCGGGAGAGGGCGTGCAGCCTCCGCCCTCCTCTCTTGCGGTGCATCTCTCCTTCTCCTCTGGTTCCTGCCACCTCCCTGCTGGATCCCGACTGATGATGCTAAAGTGCTCCTGGCCACTCAGGTGCGAGGATCGGGGCCTGTGTGGGCAATGTGAGTGTATGTGAGCGTCCTGTGTATGTGTGGGAATACTCGCGTGTACCTGTATGGGTGAGTGCTCGCTCGCTTGTACGCGCGTGTGTGCAGGTGTGAGTGAGCGCCCACGTGCCTGTGTAGAGGGTGCAGAGGAGTAGACAAGACGAGCTCATAGGGCAGGAAATGCTGACTCAGTCACTCTGCGGGACACTGAGGGGACTATTGACAGAATTTCCACACTTTTCCAGAGGCCTAGCGCAGCAAGTGGGGACATTCCTTGGGCATATTGAGAGTCACAGTTTGGGAGCTTCAAGTTGCGTCCTCATGCTGAAAGCTCTGGCTCCTGGGATGGGGATCTGCGGGCAGATTGCAGATGAAGGTCCAGGAAGGGGAGAGGGATCTGTTATTACTGGCTTTCTGCTTAGACTCCCTTCTCCCCAGCTACAGTGACTTTTGGCTAGGTAGGAATGACCAGGGAAAGGCCCTCCACTGAAAGACCATGGATCATCCCCAAACAGGTACCACCCACCCAGCTCCTGGTTCTGTCTCTCTCACCCTCTCCCCTTCTCTCCTTCCTCTCTTCCTTTCCCTCTTTCTCCAAAAGTTCTTTATACAAAGTATTAAGAATATATGAAAATCATATGTGCATAGCTGCATTCATAGTATGCTAAATCAAAGTCTCTACAGAAGGAGAAGCATCAATGTACTCCTGAATTCCAGTGTTTCATCCAGCATCAAAACCCATCCAGTTCTGTTCTTGTACATTATTCTGTATGCACACCATCTGCATCTGATCATATCTCTGGATTATATTTCATTTTCTTTGTGACCTTCACATATCTACCTCATTGGCTATTGCTTTGGGGGGTAAACGTCCTTCTGGGTACCCATTGTTAGTCTCTATGCAGCAGAGAGATGTGTCCATCCCTGTTCATGCAGGCTGAAACTTTCCCACCCTTTCTTGTGGTCTCCTGGCCTTGAGGAAGGAGGACTGTATTCTTCAATCCCTGTAGGAAACACAGGGATGCCACCTTGCACAAAGAGGGTTGCTATCTGGGGAGGGCCAGTAGATGTCTGTCTGCTGGTACCTTCAGGGTAGTCTAACCCAGTGGTTTCAATTCTGGACACTGTCTGTTACCCAGCCTTTGGGGTTCAACACCCAAATTTCAGGTGCAGAGTAACCCACCCTTATCCCCTAGGGCAGATATACCTTGACTGTGTCTGTGATATCCCTAGCACCTAGCTCTTGTGTTCAGGGGAATATTTAGCACATGAATGATGACTGTGACAAGGAAGCTGCTTTATTCAATGATACCGAGAAGCATTCCTGTCACTGGGCCTAGAGTGCTGCAATATAGCCTTGCTGGTGAGCAGCACCCAGAGGCCACTGCCCTAGCCCCTTCCAGAAACCGTGCTGGGTGCTATCAGGCCAGCCTCTGCCCCTGGTTACTCACTGTGGCCTACTCTGCCTAACCAGGAAATCTCTCTGTCCTCTCAAGGGACTTTGCCTGTCTTGATGCTCATCTATTATACCTTGGTTTAACACAGAAGGAAGTATGTAACTCATTAATTTCCTAGTTCTCAGGAGAGGCTGAACTGTGCAGCTCTGGGATCAGGTTAATACACACTCTCAGCATTTGCTGAGTCCTGAATCACTGCTCCATCCTGGAGCAGCAGTGGCCTTTGTATTAGTATGAAGAGCATAGAGTTCCTTCTGCCCTGTGGGGTGGAGAATGGCAGAATGCAACAGGATAGAGTGGGCCAGGCACTAGTGCTTTGCCAATATTCTCTCAGTGATCAGACCTTGGACCAAAAGACAGAAAATCTATGTCCAGTTTTCAGCCTCCACTTGAATAGTGAGACATAGGGGAGTTCTAGTCCTGACTGGTTGTTGCAAATTTAGGGTAGCCTCAACTTTTCTAGCCCATGTCTCCCGAAGAGCACAGATGGCATCTAAGGATAGGTGACATTCCTGCAGAAATGCTCAGAGAGCTTGAAAGGTACTAAGTGCATCTTTCATTGTCTATAAATTAATGTGAGATACCAGAAAGTAGCAGAATTCACATGCATTATCACTGTTAATTAGCGTGCAGACCCACCTCCTCTGAGTCTTTTCATCTGCCTCTTCTTTCATGGAGCAAGAGATGAATTCACAATGAAAGTTTTCCCTCCTTAGAATATGACACCGGAAATTATTTTTTCTTCTATTTATAGAAATTCCATTTGCTTTTATGAAGCTGGTAATGTCTCATAAATATTTCTTGCCAGATAAAATATTAATTAAAAGAGTTTGTTCAGTTATACTCTGAAATCCTAACTAAATATTTTCTAAGACAAATACTGTAAGTATTCTAAGACAAATACTTTTTTCTTGTGTTAGGAGAATTTCTCATGCATTACTTATGCATGTTAATAAGCTCTCCAGGAACAGCAGATCTCTATCAATCAAGGAAATATAATTTTTCATTATTTAGCAAATGGTCATATGGCATCTACCCAATTAAAAAACTAAACAGAGCATTACCAATACTATTAAATCCACTCTCTAGATTGTCTCTTTTTTCCTCAAGAATTAGCAACCCAAATTTGGTGTTTCCATTCCTATTGTTTTATGTGTATGTACACACACACACACACACGCACACACAGAGCTATTCAGTCAGTGACCACTGATCACATACACAGCAGTCCTTTTTTAAATTCACTGTTGGACTTTCCTTGGTTTTAGTTATTGACAGTCAGCTATGGTCTGAATATATCAAATGGAAAATTCCAGAAATATTGTTTGTAAGCTTTAAGTTGCAGCCATTCTGAGTATTGTGATGAATTTTCATACCATGTCTGTCTGTCCCATCCAGGCACAGGATGTCCACACTGTATGAGTGATCCACTCCCTAAGCACTTGCTAGACATCTAGGTTGTCAGACTGACTCACAGTAGCACAGTGTTGGTATCCGCATTGTCCCTCTTTAGCACACATGTAGTGATGTTGGCTGTTCAGACCTGACAGCCAGCCATAAAGCCCTCTTTTAGGTGAAACAGTGAAAATTCCCAACTTCAGAAGAAAAGGAACTTCCATACATTTGAGGAGGAGGAGAAGGAGGAAGAGGAGAAGGAGAAGGAGGAGGAGGAGGAGGAGGGAGAGGAGGAGCAGGAGCAGGAATCTGTAGTAAAAAGGAAAGTTCTGCCTGTGAAATTGTGAAGGAGAAATAAATTTGTGCTATTTTGCTGTTGTACTTCAAAATCTACAGATTATGGTCACGTTGGGTGAGAAGTGCTTAGGATGGAAGGGTGCTACACACACGTGTACATGTGTGTGTAGAGAAAAAGCAGCAAGTGTAGGGTTTGATACTCTCCTGGCTTAGGAAATCCCTGGGGTCTGGGGACATATAGAGATAAGGCAAAACTGTCAGAAGTTTCACATTCATAAGCAGGCCTCAAATGTTTGAGACATTCTGATAGGTTCTAGAGAAGGTGACATGTACAATGGTGGACTTTGTTTTTTAAAAAATGCTACCCATTTGCAAACTGGTTCAGCCCCTATGGAAGGCCGTATGGAGAACTCTTAGAAAACTACAAATGAACCTACCATTTGACCCAGTTATACCACTCCTTGGCATATACCCAAAGAACT